TTTACACGTGTCGGATATGCCGGGAATAAGTAAGAGACAATAGCATACACATGACACTCGAATATTATGTATATTATATTATAATTCATATTATGAATGTGTATCGCTCAGATACTGATTCCGTTACGGGAATCGAACCCGGATACCGTGGCATAGCACCCATCCAACGACTCAATCATCTGGCGATTGACTCCAAAAAATCAAATAAAAAAACAACTTTAATTACAAACATAAATATATCGCGTATTAAGTGAAAATAATATAATCGTATAAATCACTTTTTATGTCGCGAATAGCATAAATCTAATTCTATTTGCCATAAAGATAAAATCGTGTTTAAATAGATTAAAATTCGCCGCGTTTAATACACGAACACGCCACCAGAGTCCCGACACAGAGCATTAAGACGGATTCGTCTGTAACATTCTTTCTGAAGACTGTATTTTTAAAACAATTCGCTTATTCTTAAAATTATCGCGCAAATATCTGTAATACATCAAGTCGCGTCACTGATGCACCAATATTATAAAGGGCAGAAGTAAGAAGAACAATCTCAGTACTAAAAAACTTTGAAATGGAGCTAATTAAAGTCGTAGCAAGTGGAAAGAATTTAAAAACAGCCCCAATAAGCTATTAGAGTAGGTTATTAAAAAAGGAAACATTTCTTACATAAATAGTAATAACAAAAATAAATGGTTGAGATTTTAAATAATGCATATTTTTTAACTACCAAAGTTTTGCTTAGATGGATGGACGAGCTCACAGCCCACCTCGTGTTAAGTGGTTACTGGAGCCCATAGACATCTACGACGTAAATGCGCCACCCACCTTGAGATATAAGTTCTAAGGTCACAAGCATAATCAGTTAAAAAAAAAAGTAAATATTTGAGAAAAAACAAAAAAAAAAGCCCGCTGAGTTTGTTTCGCCGGTTCTTCTCAGGACTGTGGCTTTTTTGGAACCGGTGGTAGAGTTAGCGTTGTTATTTATATTTTGACATTTAACAAGTATGTCATACTGACATCTAAGTTGAAATAAATGATTTTGAATTTGAGTTTGAATTGAATTTGAGTCAGTTACAACGGCTGCCCCGCCCTTCAAGCCGAAACGCATTACTGCTTCACGGCAGAAATAAGCAGGGCGGTGGTACCTACCCGTGCGGAATCACAAGAGGTCCTACCACCAGAAAGTCATGAAAATTATTTTTTTTTTTCAATTCAACACTCTTCGCTCTGTTTAAAACTGGTTTAATCATATAATTTCCATTTCCTACACTAGCGCTACTTCGATGAGTGTTCCAACAATAACTCGCTGTTAACAGGTGGACACTATCAACTTGTCCCCTATACAAGATAGTAGTCTTTACCTCTACCCTCCATAATCAATATTATATCGATATGTCAGAACCACAGAGCAACAAGTCTAGAAGTGTTATGGAGTTATTAATCAAAAATCCCAAAAAAATTACACTTCTATTTTTTTCGAACCCCGCCCTTACACATTCATTACTGTTTCCAAAACTGATTAATTTTTTTGACTTATGACCATTTGGTTCTGACGTTTTTTTTTTTTTTTTTTTTTTTTTTTTTTTTTTTTNGGATTACTGGTGGCCCGGAGGCCTTTCCAGTTTCACCAGGACAGGTGGGCGAGCAAAGGCTCAGCCAGGAGGGGTGGGATTTGCTAACAGCTACCCGAGCGCCTCCGAAGGAGACCTAACAACTCAAGAGTAGCTGCTTCGCGAATGAATCTACTACCGGATCGGAATCGCGACCCACTGAGAAGATCCGGCGAGAAACTCAGCGGGCTGATGCATGGGTTAGGTTGCACGTCGACCTCTTTGTCGAGTTCGACGAGTACGGTTACCGGGGTCCCTAAGCCTGCTCCTAGTATTAGAGCTGAAGGCATCATGGTTCTGACGTAACGCTATATCGTTTGTAAATAAAATGTAAATTTAAAAAAAACGGAAAATTACAAGACACCATTTTGTATATCATCAGATTGCCCGTTGCTATCAAAGAAATCGCATAATGTCTCCAAAACGGAAACACTACGGTCTGCGAGCACATCGCTTGCCAAATAAGTTCTAGATTATTCCGTACGATAAAGGTTAGTTTACACGGATGAACGATTTATAAGACCGTTGTTGTTATGACCGGACTGTTGACCAATAAATAATGTAAATAAAAAAAACAATTGTAATTAATTATTAGGAAAGTCTCAAGAAGCCAACTCTAAATATATTAGTTTCTCGTTTGATGACGTCATTCTTGACGTTTTCAAATTTAAGATGGCCGCTTCATTGATTAGTCGCGTGACGAGCTTAGCGTCAAGTTATTTCACGCCGACTTTTAATATTATAAATAGGAAAGAAACTGTCTGTCTATTGCGTTTTCACGCCCAGTGCACTGAACACATTTTAAACGAAATTCGTTATGGAAATAGTAGCTCGCGACAACAATAATAATTGTCGCATATCGTGCACTAAACATACTGAACTAATGTCGGCTTTGTTGTAAAACATCGTTTGCCTACAACGACTATAAAAAAAAAAACTATCGTTTGACAGTTGCGTCGTTGACCTGTCCGTAGCGCGACGCAGGCAAACGGTATAAAGCCAAAGGTACCTGATTACAGTCAACAATCCCTATATTCGTAGATACAGACTTCTTTCTGTAAAAATTATATCGAGAATTAATGGTATAAAAAAATATTTTATAACTTTTCGTCTGAATTATCTTCAGATGTAAGTCGTCACGTGGGACATGTTCAGTTGTACCCAGACCAAATAGAGACGACATAGTGACTGCCATTCATTGGATAGGTGAGGCGGAACACTAAATATATTCTGTTTAATCGCTCAGAAACATTTGCAACTGGAAATCGACGAAAAGAAAGAACAACGCCCAAACATTATACAAATTTAAATAAAAAAAATAATGTTTATGGTGTGAACGGAATAATTGATTGATTTATTGATATCAAATCGATATTATATCGATTTTTGGAGTTTACTCCTTTAGAATCGATTTACATATATAGGCCCGGGGTATGAAAATTATGGGGACCAAAATCGTACTAGCATGTCACACGAAATGCGTTATGCGCCTGATTGCGCATGTCACACGAAATGCGTTATCGCAGGTGACGCCGGGCTGCTGCGCCGGCAGTCCGCCACAAAGCCTCGTACTGATCGCGCGTTTCTCTCATTATTGTATTTTCATATATTTGTTAGTCGTTTGTTTTGTGTCTCGTTAATTTGTTAATAATCTGTAGTGTATCGTGTTGTCGTAATATAGAACTATTTCTCGTATTGTTTCGTTTAATTTTTTATATCCAGTAAACTCCAGTCGTGCGTCGGAGCGGACACACACACTTTTTTTATTTTATCGATACGCTTGTGAAGTTAGCGTCTTTCTCAGTTTTCTTCTCATTATGTTTTAAATCGATTAATATATACGTTGAAAGTTTAATTATGTGCGTGACCAAAAAACACGAAAAATGAGTACATAATTTTCTCCACAGTCACTAGTGTTGCCGTATTATTTATTAACATAATCGTAATGCTGGTATTGTTACATTCATGACTATTCTGTAAATGTGAAAAATATAGTGTTTTTTTTAATTTATTTCTGTTTAAGGTTGCCCTATAGGGTTGGTAAAATTCTTACATAGTTTTCCTTAAAATCCATTTTCTATATAAAAAAAATGTATACAAAATCTTTGTGCGTTGAATGGTTTTTCTATTATGTCTGTACTCTGTTCTTAGCTCGACACGACTAATGTTTATAACTTCAATGACAGCTTCATTACTGCAAATTACAAAAATAACGTATAGAAAATATCATCTTGATTTATTGTTGTGCATCAAAAATACTCAATTTATTGTCGTGAAAACATTTCAATATCGTTCCTTTAAGCAAAGCATTATTTAAATACCATTATCTATCGAGCGTGCTTTTGACAGCTGTCACACGTAATGAAACGTCAAAAAATGTGATGTCAGATGTTGATGGTACGGTATTTAGGTAAGTAATTCAACAGTTGATTACTTTGTAAAATAATAATAATTATAATTGATGTGACCTTGTGCAATCACGAAGCCCACCCAACAAACCAGAATCCAAACCACACCAAAAGACATCTGAGCATAACCAAAACCACAGACTCTATAAAACTTGACTTTGGCGAAATCAAAAAGGACCGCCATTACAAAAGAAAATGAAATGATGGTACGGTACGGTACGGTACTATGTTTGCGATCAGGGAACGCACCACTGTGTCACCATAGACCATAAACTTGTGCACAGAGACGAATGAAATCTACATAAGTCGAAAACTTGTATTCTTGACGATGAGTATCAAAATGCAAACTGAGTAAATGAAAAAAATAAGATAATTTGTCTGACAATAAACAATAACAATAAACGTATGACCATGTTTTTTTTACTTAATTTTAAAATATTAACATTAATACAGGAGTATCTTTTTCCAATACAGTAGTAGTATGAAGGTTCTGTTTTCCTTTTTCTGAATATTTTAATGAATTCATATGTTACTGCAAAACGAGTCTTATTGCATGTACAAAGAGTCCGTTTTTAATTTTCTATTTTTTGTTACATCTCCAAATTAAAATCGTAAAAAAAATCACGGGTTTTTTTAAATATATTTTCAACTTTACACTTTACTTACACAATATGTAAATAATAGGATGTATTATTTACGAAAACAATAATCGATAAAATTTCATAGAACCATAAATACGTATTACTTGTCTGTGGCGTATCGATAAAAAAAAAAAACTTATTGTGTTACGCAGTTACACCTCTCTCGAATCTTAATATCTTAGTTTCGCAATAATAATATTTTACACCCGGTATCCAAACAGCGGGAGGATTTTACGTTCGCGATATCGATACGACTAATCGATTCGACGATCGATTACATTCCCTTTGCTATTTAGGGTTGTGCACGTTGTTATCGTTAGTGTATAGTCTGTGCTCGTACGTCGGGGTTGGGTATGGTCTGTGCTCGTAGGTCGGGGTTGTGTGTGATGGGGCGGCGCGCGCCGGTCAGCTAGAGGCAGCGGGCGGCGGCAGGAGGTGCTCCGGGACCGACACGGGACGGAGGCGCGCCGGGACTTTCTTTTGAGGACACAATACCTGCGTACAAACATATATTGTGCATTAAGACGAACTGTTAGATGGTGTTAGGCGGCGGCTGACGTCAGTCTTTTAAAAAAAGAACACAAGTGCTTTTCTAAAATGCTGTTTTATTTGAAAAACGTTCACAATAAGTGGGGACTTTTTGGCGGGAACGCGAGGAGTGTAATTGTGTGATTTGTTTTATTTTGTCTATTTAGTGTTTCTTCAGGTTTTTAAATGTGTAATAACGGTGGTTTATTAACTGTTTAATATCTGTGAAAGTGCACAAATGTGGGAAAATGAAACAAAGTCATGAAAATGAAATAAAAATGAAAAATAATTTTCATAAGTAAGTTGTGAAAGTTGGTTAACATAGAGTACCCACTCGTCTTGCGAAAACGAAGCATCCCTTCTCTTCCTCGGCGGCGGCGGTGGAAGGCACCAGCTGCAGATCCACCGTCGGAGCCTCCCGACCCTCCTCCGCTGAGAACGAACACAGGTTAATAAACTTTAGTTCTACTACGAAACTCAAGTTGATCTCTGAAGGCAGGCAGCGGCTTGGCTCTGCCCCTGGCATTGCTGAAGTCCATGGGCGACGGTAACCACTCACCATCAGGTGGGCCGTATGGCCGTCTGTCTAAAAGGGCAATAAAAAAAAAATAAAAAAAAATGTACAATACCATATGGTATCTGATGATGAGAGGTCACCGACCTCGGTGAACATTAGCAATGCGAACTGCGTATTGCTTAGTTTTTATTGTCTTTTAAAAAGACATCGACCGCAGAAAACTCCGTGGAGTTTATTCGAGGTGAAGAGGTCACCTTGAACACACTATAAGTAAGTATTATAAGTTTTTACCGGTGGTAGGACCTCTTGTGAGTCCGCGCGGATAGGTACCACCACCTTACCTATTTCTGCCGTGAAGCAGTAATGCGTTCCGGTTTGAAGGGCGGGGCAGCCGTTGTAACTATATTGAGATCTCGGACCACATTTTTTTTATTGCCCTTGTAGGCAGACGAGCACACGGACCACCTGATGGTGAATGGTTACCGTCGCCCATGGACTTCAGCAATGCCAGGGGCAGAACCGAGCTGCTGCCTATCTCAAGGTGGGTGGCGGCATTTACGTTGAGGATGTCTATGGGCTCCGATAACCACTTTAACATCAGGTGGGCTATGAGCCCTATGCTATATATATATATAGAGACGTCAGTACCGCGCGTCTACTTGGGCCATAGACAACCTACAGCAGTACAGCACTCACTCGACGCGAAAACGTTTAGCTCCTTGAAGCAGCCGGTCTCGATCATCTCGGCCTGCCAGGGTATGGACACGCTGCCCGTGTTGAACTTGCCGTAGAACGTGTCGTCGGCCGCGTCCAGGTTGACGCCCTTCACGGTGCTGAACTGCTCGATGTCGAGGACGTCCTTGGCGTAGACGGCGTGCGGCTGCGGAGAGACATTAGCGTTACGTCACGCGAGGGGCGGCGCGGGGGGTTGGGGGGTTGGACGCTGCATGTAGTCTAATTACATAGTTACATAGGCAACCCAAATTACCCACCGTAATTACATTGTAATGTAAAATAAACTACCTAATATCACTGTATAAAATTTTACACCCATATTGGAAATTGTATTGTTTTTGTGACAAACATTTTTCGTTTTATATAGTTAGCAATGACGCACCGTACGCAGGCGCTATACTTTTTCAATCAGTAAGTATCTGCAGTCGGCATCATTACCCCAAATTGGTATGTCTATACTAATACTAATAATATTATAAAGAGGAAAGATTTGTTTGCTTGTATTGAATAGGCTCCGAAACTACTGAACCGATTTGAAAAATTCTTTCACTGTTTGGAAGCTACACTATTCCCGAGTGACATAGACTATAATCTTTTTTGAAAAAAATTAGGGATCCTTACTAAAACTTCAATAATGTAACTCAAGGTGTAAAAAAATTACATAAAATATTTTTTACATCGCGTGCCCTGCGAAAACTATTGATGATAGAATAAAATAATGTACTACAACTTTGTAGAACACATTATTATTTACAAAAAACGTCGCAATAGTAGATGTCCAACTATTATAGTTATGCCGCAATAAGTGTTCTGTTATTTAAAAAAATAAAACAACGTCAAATATCGTTGAAATTTTTATTAAAGAGCGGAGCGGGAGCGGGCCGCTTTACTAGTTTTAAATTAGTGTTTTGAGTTTTTCGAAGGGCGCTCGAAGGCGGCACGACATAAAAACATTAAAAACCCTCTTGTAGTGGCCGCCGTCGTCCCTAGAGTTATCGAAAATATTCCACACAAATCGAGTATTGTGTTTCCGTTATCTGACAATAGATGGCGTTCTAGATGTTACTAGATCCTTCGGCGACAGATGGCGTTACAACATTCTACTAGTAAGCAATGGATACTAACGTCTGGCACGAAGGGCGCAGGCACCATGCCGGCCTCGAGGCGCGCCCAGTTGAGGTGCGCGAAGAACCGGTGCGCCTTGACGAGCGCCGCCCCCCGCCGCCCCGCGCCGCAGCCCAGCCGCGCGCCCGCCGCCTTGCTCAGCAGCGACGAGCACAGCGCGCGGCTGCACTCGCTGAACTTGCTCGAGTACTTCTCCGGCTCGTGCTGCGCGGTAGAGGCCAGGCCACATTAGTGGAGAACCCCAGCCCGATCACAACATCGATGCGTCTTTATTGCTTAGATGGGTGGACGAGCTCACAGCCCACCTGCTGTTAAGTGGTTACTGGGACCCATAGACACCTACGACATTAATACGTCACCCACCTTGAGATATAAGTTCTAAGGCATCAGTATGGTTACATGCCCTACCCTTCAAACCGAAATGCATTACAAGAGGTCCTATGACCAGTAATATATAAACGTATCATGTACGTGTACTGTAAAAACTGAGACCTTAGAACTCGAATCTCAAGGCAGCATTTACGTTGTAGATGTCTATGGGCGCCGGTAACCATTCAACACCAGATAGGTCTCGTTCACGCACCTAAGCTTAACTGTAACTGTAGGCAGCGGCTTGGTTGTGCCCCCGACATTGCGAAAGTCCATGGGCGACGGTAACCATCTACCATCAGGTGGGCCGTATGCTCGTTTGCCTACAAGGGCAATAAAAAAAACCTAAGAAATGAATAAATAAAAGTTTATAAAAGTACAATAACATATATTTAACAACGTGCTTACATACTACCATAACCGAAATGCTGAATTCATAAATCTACACACTTTAGTTTTTATTAGTATCACCATTCAACATATTAGTATATGATATGATATTTAAATAACTAAATATATATTTATGACAATCATTATCCTAAAAATCCACAGTACTGAAATTACAACAAAAGTACTTCTCACCTTTACCCTCCTGTCAACATCTTCCCTTTTGACCTTTTCTTTTCTAGCTCGAAACGGCGCTCTACCCTCGATCATCTCATACACCAGGCAACCGAACGAGAACCAGTCCGGACTGAACGTGTACCGCTCGTTGTCGATCACCTGCAACAGAGCGCAAGGCCATTAGGACAGGACCTGACGCGATATTAGACCTTGTATTTATTTGTTAAAAGTACAACACTAACAACCAACGAACCCCACCTGTCCCCGCACAGAGTCGCCCCAGGCACGTCTAAAGCCACCCGGAGTCAGAGATATACACATAACCCGCACCTTCTAATAGTGGAGTACTTACCGCGGGCGCCAAGTACCCGACAGTCCCCACACGTTCCCGCACAGAGCCCCCCTCCGGCACCTTCATTGTAACCAGGGGTCAGAGATGCACACATAACCCGTATCGCCTAACAGTGAAGTACGTACCTCGGGCGCCATATACCCTACGGTCCCCACACGTCCCCGCACAGAGCCCCCCTCCGGTACGTCCTATTACACCCTGGATCAGAGATATACACCTAACCCGCATCGCCTAAGAGTGAAGTACTTACCTCGGGCGCCATGTACCCGACGGTCCCCACCCTCCCCCGCACAGAGCCCCCCTCCGGCACGTCCACCGCCAGCCCGAGGTCAGAGATGCGCACGTGACCAGCGTCGTCCAATAATATATTCTCCGGCTTGCAGTCTCTAGAAACACGATACATACATTATCACACTACGGTTTTTTATTTTTTATTGTTTAGATGGGTGGACGAGCTCAGAGCCCACCTGGAGTTAAGTGGTTACTGGAGCCCACAGACATCTACAACGTAAATGTGCCACCCACCTTGAGATATAAGTTCTAAGATCTCAAGTATAGTTACGACGGCTGCCCCGCCCTTCAAACCGAAACGCATTACTGATTTACGGCAGAAATAGGCGGGGTGGTGGTACCTACCCGTGCGGACTCACAAGAGGTTCTACCACCAGTGTCTGTGGGTTAAGTTGTACGTCCAACCCTTCCACGGGTTCGACGAGAACGGTAACCGGTGTTTGAATTGCAGAAGTATCGAGTAACGCGAAATTACGTGCTGTTGTTATTTATTCTGCAAAAAAATTACCAAAACAATAAAGAAATTTAAATCTTAAAGCATCAGCGATTAAGGTCTAATTACTGCGAGGGGACGAGCACTAAGCGGTGTCATTAACACAGCGTAAAGGCTACCTGTAAACGATGCCCATCTTGTGCAGGTGCTCGAGGCCGCACGCCACTTGCGCCGCGTAGAACCTCGCGCGCTCCAGCCCCAGGCCCGTCTCCGCGCCGCACATGTTGTAAATGTGAAACTTTAGATCGCCACCTGAAGAATTCGTTACTTGTACCAGACTCTGTAGTTACCCAGACAGAGACACGAAACCGCGACCCGCCTTAAGATATACATCTTTTTTTGTTCCTACGTATGTTGATAGCCTTGAGAGGCTATATCAGCGTTACCCTAGCATGTAGATGAGCTCACGGGGTTAAAACCGGAGGTGTTACTAACACTGGCCCTAGCAAGAGCAGTGCTTCGCAGAATCTACTACCGGATCGGAATCGCGATCCACATTTTTTTATTTTTTTTATTTTTTTTTTATTGCATTGATGGATGGACGAGCTCACAGCCCACCTGGTGTTAAGTGGTTACTGGAGCCCATAGACATCTACAACGTAAATGCGCCACCCACCTCGAGATATAAGTTCTAAGGTCTCAGTATAGTTACAACGGCTACCCCCACCCTTCGAACCGAAACGCATTACTGCTTCACGGCGGAAATAGGCGGAGTGGTGNTCTCAGTATAGTTACAACGGCTACCCCCACCCTTCGAACCGAAACGCATTACTGCTTCACGGCGGAAATAGGCGGAGTGGTGGTACCTACCCGTGCGGACTCCCAAGAGGTCCTACCACCAGTGATTACGCAAATTATAATTTTTGCGGGTTTGATTTTTATTACACGATGTTATTCCTTCACCGTGGAAGTCAATCGTGAACATTTGAACACTGAGAAGATCCGGCGAGAAACTCAGTGATTTGTATTTGTATGATATTATTATTATTATTATTATTATTACATAGATTGGTGGATGATCTCATAGCCCACCTGGTGTTAAGGGGTTACCGGAGCCCATAGACATCTACAACCTTGAGATATGATTTCTAAGGTCTCGGTATAGTCGGCTGCCCCACCCTTCAAACCGAAACGCATTACTGCTTCACGGCAAAAATAGGCAGGGTTGTGGTACCTACCCGTGCGGACTCACAAGGGGTCCTACCGCCAGTAATTTGTATAATGTTGGTACCTGTGAGAGTTCCTAATTTCAATCCATGTTTAATGGGAGTAACATGAGAGCATTGACCGACTTACCGTTCATGATAGTGAGGACTAGACACAGTGCGTCTTTCGTTTCGTACGCGTAGGCCAAGTTGACGACGAAGCGAGAATTGATCCTCTGCAGGATCTGTTTCTCGATCAGCACCATCGCTTCACCTTTGCGTTTCTTGATCCTTTTCTTTTCTAATTTCTTACAAGCGTACATTTTGCCGGTCGCCCGAACCTACAAAAAGACAACGTATATAATGTATATGTATGTTCAAACATATCATACATAACATTGAGATGACCAGGATGGACAGAGTTCGGAATGAATACATACGGGGGAGCTTTAAAATCACATCAATCACAGACAAAATGACAGAAAATCGCCTTAGATGGTATGGCATATCATGACGGGATGAAGATCATGTGGTGAAGGTCACATTGGGCTTGCCAAAACAAAAGAAAGGTAGAGGCCGCCCGCCATCGACCTGGTGGTCAAACACCGAAAGAGACCTTAAGAAAGCCCAATTGCCAAAACCGACAACCCAGGTCAGTTCAGCCTGGCGCCGTAGAGTGAGGAGACCCGACCCCAGATAACGGGAAAATCGACGGATAGTAGTAGTAGTCGTAGTAGTAGTCGTAGTAGTAGTAGTATGTTCAAACATATGTAATTACTGTCGACCCGTACCAGCTTCGCGCGTGTGAGGTATTGTGCTGTAAATGCATTACAATAATTACATACAATAAAGGTATTATGTATTATCTTATAAGCCATATATACACATAAATTAGTTATAGATAAGCAACTCAAGCACTCAACAAAAATGTTTACGGGCGTCGGCCTCTAGATGGCTTCGATTAGATTAGTTTCTCATTGCTCCTGTAGATGACAGTAACATATTACCTATCCTATATTTTATTTTTAATGGAAGATTTTGTATATTTTCAGAAACCACAAATTGAAAAAATTTAATCATTTTGTCTATAACAAGCAAAGGGGACGGCCCATTTCAGGCCCAAAGCGGACAATAGATTAGAGAAAAAATACTTAGTTCATTAATTTTGTCATAAATAAATATGCATTTACTTTCTTGCAAATAAGCGCCACTACAGTTTACAATAAGTAGTTTAAAAAAAGTAACTCTATTGAAAAAACAAGGATTTTTATTTTTGCGGGAAAAATATTGCCAGCTTCAAAACCTTTTACGTATGAAGTAAATATTTTGAGTATATAAATAAAACATATAAATAAATCATTTTAAGTATTATCATTAATCAAACGATTTTAATGGATTTTATGCACATAAAATAACATCGAAGACATACCCATTGGACTTTAACTTGTAACTATACTTGAGACCTTAGAACTTATATCTCAAGGTGGGTGGCGCATTTACGTTGTAGATGTATGTGGGCTCGAGTAACCACTTAGCAACACCAGGGTGGCTGTGAGCTCGCCCACCCATCTAAGCAATAAAAAAAACTTTACTAGTATTGTTATTTAAATATGTACAACTAAAACAAAAACATAAAAAATAATGTGTACTCGTAAAAAAAAGATTAAGATATAAATCAATTATCGGTTATTTAAAAAAATAATCGATATATGAATTTCATGTAATTATTTTTCTTTATACTGACAACACTGAATTTAATCTGACTGACTGACACTTCGCTTGCTGCTTGTGGTGTTGTGCTTGTGTACAAAATGGATGTGTTTTGATTTTTCTTCGATTTATTTTACTTTTATCAATAACGTTTCATACTACGACTAAAAAACATTGTGTGAACTGTGGTTTTACCCTGACCGAGATTTAAAACCGTGTATATGCTCTCTTTTGCTATTTTTAGATGATACTAATTGTGTATGAAGATGAAGAAAATATAGATATTTATAGAATTAAGTTTGTTTTTATACCCTATTGGATAAAAATACATTAGGAACATCTTAAACATTAAGTAAAGAAAAGTTCTTGAAGTATCTCACAATCCGACACTTATTTATATAGAAAATTAACCTCAAAACGAGTTTTTATTTTTATTATATTTTTTATAATAGTGGCGTCAATTTCAATATATTTTTTAGATATCCAATACATTTAAGAATTTGAATCAATCCATTTTTATAGTAATATTTGATGTCCACCTTGGGCCTAGCACACTATGGAGAGTGGGCATTCCCCTTTAATACTTGCATGATTTATATTTTTTTTATTTTCTGTTTTAGGTTATACAATAATTAAACGTCTTAACATTAACAACATATAAGTTTATGGGCATTCGCTACAAGATGTCGATAGTTTCCAGACAATAGTACATTGTGCACCAAGGGAGAAAAGTTGGACATTTCCTCCCGCGTGTAAAATTGCCACCCCGAGCCGAAAACCGCCGGCATACTAGTATCAAGAATCATATATCACGTTTAATATAAGTTTATTAAGGTCAATATCCACGCATCTCAAGTTATATTTGATAGATGACCTTAATAGTTTTCTGAATATATTAAATGCATTTCCAAGCGACTACCAAAGTACACAATAAAGAATTCGCGGGTAGGTACAACTAATTCAGAAATAAAATGAAATGGTTTTTTTTATGATTGAAAGATTACTGGGGGCCCGGAGGCCTTTCCAGCTTCACCAAGACAGGTGGACGAGCAGAGGCTCAGCCAGGAGGGGTGGGATTTGCTAACAACTGCCCGAGCGCCTCCGAAGGAGACCTAACAACTCAAGGGCAATTGCTTCGCGAATGAATCTACTACCGGATCGGAATCGCGACACACTGAGGAGATCCAGCGACTGCGGGACTCAACGGGCTGATGCATGGGTTAGGTTGCACATCGACCTCTTTGTCGAGTTCGACGAGTACGGTTACCGGGGTTTCTCAGCCTGGTCCTAGTGTTAGAGCTGAAGGTATCTAACGCAAGAGTTATTGGATCTGATGTAAGGATGGATGTAAGGACGTGAAAATGAAATGTGATTAAATGTTTGTAAAGGCGACTGACCTGACAAGCGCAGACCTCGCCGAAGCCGCCCTTCCCGAGGACTCGGTACATCCTGAAGGTGTTCTGCGTGACCGGCTGAGCCTCCAGCCACTTCCACTGGAGGTACCGGTGGAAGTACATCGAGCGTTCGAACTCTCCGAACGGAGTGCCCGCCAGGAAACACTTGACGTATTTGATGCATTCCGAGAATATGTCCTTGGAACCGCCTGTGCACAAAGATCATGATATATATCCTTAGACAGCCAACTGTAGACGAAATATTGCCAAATGGAGATCGCAGTTTTTTTTTTATTGCTTAGTTGGGTGGACGAGCTCACAGCCCCCCTGGTGCTCAGTGGTTACTGGAGCCCATAGACATCTGCAACATAAATGCACCACCCACCTTGAGATATCAGTTCTAAAGTATCATGTATAGTTAGTATAGTATAGTTACAACGGCTGCCCCACCCTTCAAACCGAAACGCATTACTGCTTCGCGGTAGAAATAGGCAGGGCGGTGGTACCTACCCGCGCGGACTCACAAGAGGTCCTACCCCCAGTAAAAAAATCCAGTTACTATGGGACACTAAAAATTGGTAGTTCTGCTGACAAACAGCATTACTTTCAAAAGTCAACGAACGACAGTAATCACTCATGATTCGGGCTGAGCTCTGCCGGTAAGTGCCAATCGGATAACAAAATAAACACTCCAAAAAACTTCTTATTTGACCCGTCTACTGATGCAAGTAATTAGCAATAATTATTATTTATAAACAAAACAAAAAAAAAACACAAAACCAAGCGATAACACAACCTCGTCCCACTTCAATATAAAGTTAATTAAAACCCTGAACTGAAAATTCCGTTAACACTGAACATGTACAGTATAATTAGAGTGGAACAAGTTAATTAATTATTATAATACATGTTGAGCCCATGTCGAGTCGTGGAGTTAGAGTTTGAGCGACCGCGGTACTGAATGGCGAACATTACACCTTTTTCACGTCATTACGGATCCTCCCGATCCATTAACGGTGCTTTTAGTTACCACAAGCACCGGTCACCGTCCTCGTCGAACCCGTCGCTTGCGACGAAGGGCTCGACGAGCGAATTAACCCATAGACACAGCCCACTGAGTTTCTCGCCGGATCTTCTCAGTGGGTCGCGTTTCCGATCCGGTGGTAGATTCTGCGAAGCACTGCTCTTGCTAGCATCAATGTTAGCATCACTCCGGTTTGAGCCCCGTGAGCTCACCTACTAGTTAAGGTTACGCTGAAATAGCCTCTCAAGGCTATCAGCTTAGGTAGGAAGCTCCTCTACCTACTCGATGGTAGCCTAAGGGGCTATTCCAGCTACGCATGTTTTGGGTAGGTGAGCTCACGGGCTCAACCTGGAAGTCGACACTTCACGAACTGGTTACAAAAACTGAGTCTCCGAGTTGAAATAGGATGACGAAGTAATTTCCAATATTCGCTTTTGGGAAGAAGGAGATAATAGATGAGTAGACATGATCGTGGATGAGTTGGGGGAATAATGTAGACGGAGCTAAACATCCAGAAAAGGCTCTCTGCCATCTGCCGGGAACGTGTTATGAGCTTCTTCGGACACATCATGCGGTCTCTCAGACATGAATTAGCGAAGCTCATGCGAACCACGGCTCTTGCTTGCAAGGGTTCGTGTTAGCAAGATCGTCAGGTTTGAGTCCCGCGACCTCACCTACTAGCCCGGCGACACTGACATGTTCTCTCTAGACCAGCCATTCCCAAAGTGGGTGATAACGCCCCCTTGTGGGCGCTGTAGGCCTAAGTGGGGGCGGTAACAGGCACAGAAAAAAAGGGGGCGTTTTGTAGAGGGCTTGGGAGGCGATTTGTAATTTCATCTAGGAGGCCTCTTAGACACTGACTGAGCTCTCGCTATAGTAGTTTTGAGTAGGTAAAAAAATGGGGGCGCTACAAAATAATTTATTCTCACAGTGGGCAGTAGACCAAATAAGTTTGGGTGGTTAAGTTATAATAACGAGAAAATATTATATATGTTACCTTTTTAGTATATAATAATTCATAGTGAACTATATTAATTAGATTACACCGGCCGACAAATGAAAATTTTTTGAAAGTTGTTTGTATTTGAGCCACAAATATTACCAATTTATACTATTTTAAACACAAAAACACCTACATATTTGCCCTATCACATCAGATTTTTTTTAAAGAAGGAAAAAGCATTTTTTTTTCAAAATTTAACCAAAAAATCAATAATCATACTGCAAAAACATATATTTGAACATTTACAAAGAAAACATTGAGTCTAAACAATGCTGCAGGACTATATAGAGTGACATATTTTACGTTTCGCGACAAAATTACGTCTGGGTGTAGTTTTTTTGTGAGTATCTTCAGTAATATCACGTGTCAGTGACCAGTAGTAATCAGTCATCATATTCACATTCCATCGACCTTGGTACCTTGTCTCCATAGTTTTTATGTCCTGATGAAACCTTTCTCCCTGCTCTTCACTGTAATCACTAAGATTATCAGGAAAAAAGTCCACATGTGAATCTAGAAAGTGGAGTTTTATGCTCATATTACACCCCAATTTTTGATACTTATCCAATAAGTTTGCAACCTTATTTTTATAGTCGGGATGTTTATTATTTCCTAGAAAATTGTTGACAACATCTTTGAACGCCAGCCAAGCATCTGATTCAGTGTTATTCATTGTGGCATCAAATTTTTCATCAACCATCAAAGATCTGATTTGCGGTCCATCGAACACTCCTTCTTTAATTTTTGCATCAGATAATCTTGGAATTTTTTTACACAGGTATTCAAAACTAGCATTGTTTTTATCCAATGCTTTAACGAACTCTTTCATCATACCGAGTTTGATATGAAGCGGAGGTAGTAAAATTTTTTCAGGACTAATTAAATTTTTTCGTATTACGTTTTTTGTTCCTACTTTGAGATTTTTACGAGGATTCCATTATTTTTGAACGTAGTGCTTGTCTCGTGCTCTACTGTCCCACTCGCACAAGAAGCATGGAAATTTTGTATATAAGTAAAAAAAAAATAAAAAAAATATATATAAGTAAAACGTAAGATTTTTTTTTAAATAAACACCCTAACTTCAGTAATAAGTTTATAAACAAAGTAACTGTAGAGGTTTATTTGCATGTAACCTGTTTCGAATGGGTGTGTCGTTGTTGCAACTAATATATTTCCTCACGAGAGGTCGCACGATTCGAGAAAAGAGCGCCAAAATCTAAAATTTAATTTATTTTAATCAAAAAATTTAAAATAGCCATGTCTTAATTTTTTTTTAAATCTGATGTGATACGATAAAATGAGGTATAATTTCGTGATCAGCACTACCAAATTAGTGGAAAAAAATAATCAGAACTTGAACAAGGAAAATGATGTCGGCCAGTGTTATTGATAAACAGTCAAGAAAGAGCTTCCCTTATTACTTAGGGCAGATTGACTGGAACACTTTGAATTAATGAAAATAACTCAACTGCAATTTATAGGTTTACATGTCGCTAATTAATGTAACATAGTGTAATATTGTTCGTGTGTGCATTTAGTGTAAGATTCATGTATTTGCTCCTCGTAACGTATTGTGATGATTTATAACATGTTCGTACCCAATAAATAAAATGAAAATAATCAAGTATTTATTACATTTAAGTACATAGGTTTTTTTTTAATTGCTTAGATGGGTGGACGAGCTCACAGCCCACCTGGTGTTAAGTGGTTACTGGAGTCCATAGATATCCACAACGTAAATGCGCCACCCACCTTGAGATATAAGTTCTAAGGTCTCAAGTAAGTTACAACGGCTGTCCCACCCTTCAAACCGTAGTAGTAGAAAGAGAAAAATTTACTAATACTATACTTGAGTTGTAACTATACTTGAGACCTCAGAACTTATATATCAAGGTGGGTGGCGCATTTACGTTGTAGATGTCTATGGGCTCCAGTAACCACTTAACACCAGATGGGCTGTGAGCTGGTCCACCCATCTAAGCAATAAATAAATAAAAAGTTTAATTTTATTTTAAATAAATATACCGTAAAATCGAATTAAGAACTACACGTTAGTTATGTACTGTTTTACTATCACTTACATATTAATATTGTGAGCGAACAATATTTATGATGAATCGTGATTTAGTAAAACTTTAAAGGTAGACTATAAATTATATATTTTAATAAAGAACTATGGTAAAAATAAAAATAAATCAATCAGATGGCCATGCAGCGCCACCCCAATAGAGCAGACACAAGAAAAATACCTATAAATATATAAAGATCTTGGGCTTAGTGCGAGTTTTTTAACGTTCTCGGTAGCGTAAAAGTTAACTCAAATTTGTAAGAGCGCATGATCGCCGCCGCCATTTTAGATTCGTTTCTTTACTGGCGCGGCTTATACCAAGGATTAGGCTGTATGTTATGATCATACCTTTGCCTTTCCAGTTGGAAAAATAGAACTACTACTGTACCTTCGAGCAGCGCGCTGGCATCGTCAATCGTCTGCCTGCCGACTACATCCGTCACAGCGTCGCAGTCTTCAGTCTTCAGATATTTTCCGAATATGTCGACCGCCAGAGCCAACCTCGTCTCGTCCACTTCCACTTCGTATCTTTCGACCTGAGCATAAAACTTTATGTATCATCAGCCTCATTCTTTCAACGACCCGACAGACAGTAAACTAATCTATAATAATATATAAAAATCTAATAATAATATATATATCTACAGTGGCTTTTACGGATGTTCCGTTATAACTACCGAACCGTGCATCTGATAACTTGAAACTTGGTATCCATGTAGAAAATACATGTACTTAATGGATTAATTTTTTTTTGGTCAGGACGAAATCGTCGGACTTCCGCCCTCCACTGGGGATGGAGGGCGGGGCATGTCAGAGTCGAACTAACTAAAACCTCCTGTCGCTCAACAAACCGCGTCCGAACCTCGCATGAGACAGAACCCATGACAAGGCAAAGGGGGGAAAATGAAGCGTTTAGTGCGGAGCACATCTCTCCCATCACCCTCCCCCTCGGGACGCCGGACCAGCGGTCATCGGCGCCACGACCACCAGCCCTCTCGGTCGGCAGGCTATCCGGAGCCCGCCTAGATGGCGCTGGTTAGAATGGGTTATCCTACGGAATACCCCGCTGGTTCAGAACCAGCGTGAGTCGAGGAGAGCCGGCCTTCCATCACCCGGATGCTCTTGCGTAAAACGCGTGCAGAGCAGCTTGCACGTCGTCTTCTTAGGCCCCCTTCGCCGGTCCCAAGACCGACATATGAAGGGGACCCGAAACACTTAGAGGGCCAGGGCTTGGGCGACATCCGCCTTCCTGGCCCCCGCTCGACGGCGAAGGGCTTGCGCGTCTTTCACGCGCCCCGCCGCCTCCTTCTGCGAGATGGTGCACTCACAGAAGTCGAGCATCGCCTTCCACGACTCGTCGTCGCCGAGCATCGATGCTACTTAATGGATAGCCTAATATTTATATCAGCGTTAGACTCCCTAATAATAATGACAATAAATAATAATGTTAATTTTAAATGCCCAGCAATAATGTTAATTTATTTTTATTACACGATGTTATTCTTTAACGTGGAAGTCAGTTAAGTACGCATTACATTAAAGAAATTAGTAGCTGCCTGCCGGATTCGAACACCGGCACATTCGTATCGCTCGATACGTATTCAGCGGTCGTCTTATCCTTTAGACCAGCCTTTCTCAAAGTGGGCGATAATGCCCCCTTGTAGGCACTGCAGGCCTAAAGGGGGTGGTAAGAGACCCAGGAAAAAAATTAGAGTTATGTAGAGGCTTGGCAGGCGATTTCTAATTTCATCTAGAAGGAATCTTCGACACCGCCATAGCTCTTGCTATAGTGGTTTCCAGTAGATTAAAAAATGGGGACGCTAAAAAAGAAATTTATTCTCAAAGTTGCAGTAAGCAGCGGCTTGGCTCTGCTCCTGACATTGCTGAAGTCTATAGGCGACGGTAACCACTGTTACCTCTGTCTGCCAACAAGGGAAATAAAAAAAAAGTGGGCAGTAGACAAAATAAGTTTGGGATCCCCTGCTTCAAGGCCATGAGGACTTGTGTTTATTATACTTTTATAGATAGTCTGGCGCTTAAGCTGTCCCGAATTCGACAAATATCACAGCTCCAATACCATAATCCTCCTCGAGACCAGCTCGAAGAATCAATGATATACCGGCTATCCGCCCCGCTCATCAAACAGGAACGCGTGCCAATTCCGCATCAGATATAGATTGATAGCCGTAAGCGGGCTCACACTGTCAGAGCGACACGTATCTTTATTAACAGAGGCACCTAACCCGGCTGAGTGCATGATCACAAGGGAAAATCGCACTTTCTAATGCACGTTTGCACTGCACGCAATTTATGTAGCGCAATTAAAAATCAACTGACGTGCGGGGTCAACAAAATATTTAGTAACTTTCTAAAATTATAATATCGTTACTCGAATCTCTATATCGGGCAAGGATTAATAAGACGCGTGTTCAGTTAAGTGACTAATGTATATTGATTGGGATTACAACCTAACGTGTTATCGACAGATGACAATCCCGAGACTGACATCATTGCATCATTGCAATATAATTACCGCTAACACGTACATATAATTGTTAGTTGCTATGGGGACATTTGTGGTCCCTACACTCGTTTTTTTTTATTGGCTTACTTGGATCGCGGCCCAACATGTGTTGAACGAAAACCTTTTTGTGGTAGATTCTGCGAAACACTGCTCTTGCTAGGGTTAGTGTTAGCAATGTCGTCAGGTTTGAGCCCCGTGAGCTCACCTACTAATTCAGTGAATCTAGTATAACCCCACGAGATTACTAAAATAAGTAGAAAAATAAAGAAAACCGTTATCCATATACATCACAACGTGGATGTCCCCCAAAAACAAAGACAGGAGACTTCAAATCGGAACATAAGTAATCGAAGGAAGCCGCCTGGAAGTGATTTTCAGTGGCGCTATATTATAAACAAAAGTTGTAGGCAGCGGCTTGGCTCTGCCCCTGGCATTGCTGAAGTCCACGGGCGACGGTAACTACTCACCATCAGGTCGGCCGTATGCTCGTCTGCCTACAAGAGCAATAAAAAAAAAGTTAGCATTTACTGGTCGTTTCAATTTCGTAACGAATTACCGCCTCAAGGCTTACTAATGGTTTCTGGAGTTTAGCAAATGGACATCACCCTGTATTCCGAACCGCCACTCGACAGTAGTCTGCGCTCACGAGACGAAGTCTTAAGTGCAGTATAACTTAATTCAAAACTTGATTCGCTTCGAACCATCTAAAATTCAGGCACTCGAGTTGTTGATAAGCAACCAAAGTTAGGCCTTAAATTTAACTTGTGTGTGTACAGGGTGTTTTTTTTACATATCAATAGTTTAGTAGGGTTTTGTTTTGAATGATCCTAGATATACCTTTAAAGAAAAAAGTACCTAATAAATAAGGCAATAGTCATCAAATTTAATTGGACGAATTTTAATGTGAGTACTGACAAGCTTGCTACTCGAACCTCGCTCGTAACACATAGCTCATAGTGTCATTAATTAAGTTAACAAACAGTTCAATGAACGTCTCAAATACAACGGCCCTGAGCTAGCCTTTTCTCCTGTGTTATGTACGCTATAAGCATCCGAGACAAGAAAATGTAGTTTCTGATTAACGAATTCAATGCGGGCGACTCCCGCGGGTCGCGTCTAGTGACTAACTAAAATAATGCAATTACAAAGTAACTTGACCTACATAATGCGTTTGTGTATTAATTAAGTTACCGAAATCTTCCAATTAGGAACGAAACGGCCGGAATCATTTAGAGGCGGCTCGGATAAAGGTCAGCCAGTTCGGTGAGATGACGCCCCCCCCCCCCACCGGGCGCCGTCCGAGATTGGAATAGAGGGCCTCGTGTTTCAAGTGCGAAACGTAACGAAATTGCAAAATTCAATTCGGCAATTTAATCTTTATATTTCGGAAGATCAAATCAAATCAAATGAAATAAAAAAAAATTTTATTCAACATAAATGAAAGTACATACTTGTTGAACGTCAAAAAGATGAACCTTTTTTTTCCTACCTATGCTGATAGCCTTGAGAGGCTATTTCAGCTTCACCCTAACGTTTGTAGGTGAGCTCACGGGGCTCAAACCGGAGAGTTGCTAACACTGACTGACCCTAGCAAGAGCAGTGCTTCGCAGAATCTACCACCGAATCGGAAACGCGACCCACTGAGAAGATCCGGCGAGAAACTCAGTGAGCTGTGTCTGTGGGTTAATTCGTCGAGCCCTTTGTCGCAAACGACGGGTTCGACAAGAACGATGACAGAGAACTACGGGTTACCACAAGCACCCCTACAGCGAAAACATATAAACGTCACTCTGCCTAATTTTAATCAGAATATTAATACGTGAAGCAAAAACTTTGTACCCCTTTTTACGAAAATTGCGCGGACGGAGGAGTATGAAATTTTCCACACTTATATAGAATATAGAGAAGAAATGCACAATGCTAATTTTTTTTTAAATGATGTATAAAAGATACATTAAATCAATAAAAAAAACATTACACACACTACATACCATGTATTTGACTAACACACGCATGCATACTATTTATTGTCAAACTTTTGTTCTTGACGTCTGTTGTCAAATTGAGAATAGATTAAATATTGTTTGTCTTTGTTAATATTTTTTATAGTGTAGTCTTGGCGAAATTTGTGATTATAGAAGTATAAAATACAATCATAATAGTGTACAAACTTACAATTCCAATTAATTATAGTCGAATTTCGANTTTATTGTCAAACTTTTGTTCTTGACGTCTGTTGTCAAATTGAGAATAGATTAAATATTGTTTGTCTTTGTTAATATTTTTTATAGTGTAGTCTTGGCGAAATTTGTGATTATAGAAGTATAAAATACAATCATAATAGTGTACAAACTTACAATTCCAATTAATTATAGTCGAATTTCGACTACTGCGGGACCTCTAGTTAGAATAATTCGACAATGTAAAGCTAATTTTAAACGAGTAAAGCCTAAGAAAAGACGATGCTGATAGAGACGCGACGTCATAAATACTAATAACTTCCCGTGTATTATTAACCACGACTATTTATTTTAGTCAAGACTCCGATATTTCACCGGTTGCAAACGCCATAATCAATGGTATCCTAGTCCAACGGTTCTCATTTTTTTTTTACTCAGCTACGCACTAAGCATACTGTTTACAAATTCGTGACATACATACATTTAAAAGATTTGACAGTACAAGTGAAGTTATAGGTGCTGTTTTTATTGAAGTGAAAACTTCTTTAGAATCGTTGTGATTTCAAACCGGATGCAACGGAAAAAACGACAGGTAAGAGACACAAATACAAAAATGTGTAGGATGAAGCCAGCAAAGAATGAGACAGAAATATACATACTATTTAATACAGCGCCATCTGTGAGATTTTTTAATACTAACGTGTGTATGAAAGCTCTTGTANAATATACATACTATTTAATACAGCGCCATCTGTGAGATTTTTTAATACTAACGTGTGTATGAAAGCTCTTGTAGTGAATTTTAATTTAGGATTATACGTGAAATTAAAATATCAATTCACAGAGGGCGCTACCTTACAATTATTTACTAATGACAAAATTTTACATATACTTAAGACGTTTAGGATAATTGTATTTTAATTTTGGAATTTATAATTTGTATTTTAATTTTGGTTTCACTTCTATCACGTGTGAATTGCACACATGTATTTTTTTTTTATATTTTAAATCACTAGCGACCCGCCCTCGCTTCGCTTCGGAAACTGTAAATTATTATTGATTTCTCCACTATTTAATTCCCTCTTCATCGAAATCCGTTGCGTAGTTTTAAAGATTTAAGCATACACAAGGATATACGGACAGAGAAAGCGACTTTGTTTTATACTATGTAGTGATTAACCTATTAAACGTGGCTGTATAGTTTACATTTAGTCAGCAGTTGTAAGCCATTGGACAGATCATATAACCGCACTCATGAGGCCCTCTGTTACAACCGCCCTGAGGGAAGCCGAAAACCAAACGAAGTGGAAAATGATTGTACAAAGAGCCACGGAGGCATTTTAAGCACACGGACCTTCAGCAATGAAGTATGCGAGTAAATAGTAAGAAGAAGTAAGAAGAGAAGAAACAGTTGTATATTTATTCCATAGCGGCCCGCTCCGGCTCCGCTCGGGTCAACAAAATTTCAATTATATTTGACGTTGTTTTATTTTTTTAAATAAAAGAACACTTATTGCGGCATAACTATTATAGTTTGTGTTCTACAAAGTCGTTGTACATTATTTTATTCTATCATCAATAGTTTTCGCCGGACACGCGATGTAAAGAATATTTTAGGTATTTTTTTTACAGCTTGGGTTACATTATTGGAATTTTAGTAAGGATCCCTAATTTTTTCCAAAAAAGATTATAGCCTATGTCACCCGGGAATAGTACAGCTTCCAAACAGTGAAAGAATTTTTTAAATCGGTCCAGTAGCTTCGGAGCCTATTCAATACAAACAAACAAAGAAATCCTTCCTTTTTATAATATTAGTATAGTTGTACACCAGAAAAGCAATTCCCGCGGGTCGCTTAATATAAAAATAATCATAATTGAGACAGCAGTTGGGAGCCACTGTCCTAATCTACAGCTTAAATACCATTTATAATAGATGGTTTCTTACTAAGACTTTTCTTTACATAGTCCAAGGATATTGCACCTGTGGCAAGCTGTAATTCAGTATAGCCAACATAACCCATTAAATAATATTATTTACAATGCATAATAAGAAAAAGATAGCCTTTATTAACAATTTGAACAAATTTAGTTACATTTTTCCATCTTATTTTAATAACCAACGTATGTGAATAATGTAAATAAAAACACTGTATAATAGTTAACCGCAAATGCTTCAAAGTTGTAAATATTTGACTAATTAACTGATATATTTTTGTTCTAATTTACAAACAATTGCGGGGTAATTTTACGAATGCAATGATTTTAGTATCTTCTTCTCAATCGTGTCACTCACTCTTGACAGAGTGGTCGTGATCGTCATGTAGTGTTGGAAGGGGCAGACTTGATGCGTCTCACGATGTTCCGCCATCTCTCCCTGCTCGAGGCCACTCTACTGCACTCATTTAGTGGACCTCCCACTGCAGTTTTAATTTGGTCGGTCCACCGCATTGGTTTTTTTTTTTAATCCTACCTATGCTGATAGCCTTGAGAGGCTATGTCAGCTTACCCTAGCGTGTGTAGGTGAGCTCACGGGGCTCTAACCGGAGAGTTGCTAACACTGACCCTAGCAAGAGCAGTGCTTCGCAGAATCTACCACCGGATCGGAAATGCGACCCACTGAGAAGATCCGGCGAGAAACTCAGTGGGCTGTGTCTGTGGGTTATTTCGCTCGTCGAGCCCTTCGTCGCAAGCAACGGGTTCGACGAGGACGGTGACCGGTGCTTGTAGTTCCTAAAAGCACCGTTAATGGGTCAGGAGGATCCGTGATTACGTGCATCACCGCATTGGTGAACTCCCGCGCGGTCTTCTACCATCAACCCTTCCCCGTACAACGAGGCGTTCTACGGACCGGCCATCTCGTCGCGAAACGTGTCCGAAGAAATTTATTATTATTAAAGATTTTAGTCTATCGGGCCAGAAATCACATAGAATCGCAATTCGTCTTCGTTATCGAGAGCCGTCGGGACTATGTGTCATGATATGTGATGTGTTTGATGTGTGTGATTCTTTAGTTTTTTTTTAACAATTTATTTTGATGAATACGATAAATACCAATCGTATCAGATTCCTAGATAACAAATGCACAGCTAAAGTAGCGGTTCCGCGATTACCCGGCCCACAATAGAATTTGTGTATTAACAAGATGGATCGCGGTCATTGTACATCGGTTGCTTTTTGCTTGCAATTTTTTTTTTTTTGTAAGCCTTTATTGCTGATACGAAACAACGATATTTACACATAGTAGCAAATGTTTTAACTTAAATCTAATCTAATACATCGGGTTTCCCGGTTCAGTGATCAGCGTGTCCTGTGACACATAGGCCTCTTCCAGCTGCTTCCATTCTTCTCTATTGCTAGCTTTTCTGGACCAAATTGTCCCTCCAATCATCTTTATATCATCTGTCCATCTTCTTGCTTGCCTACCTCTTTCTCTTTTGCCATCACGTGGCTGCCATTGTGTTATAATTTTAGTCCATTTCATTCTGTTTTCCCTTGTCATATGTCCTGTCCATCGCCATTTTAACTGTCTTATCTTCTTTAGTACATCTTGCGTTCTTTAGTACATCTTGCGTACACGTTTGCTTGCTAACTGGTTGTAAACAAAAAAAATGTGCTTGTAAAATACTATCATACCGAGATAAGGTATACTACTTTTGTTTTTTTTTTGTTATTGCTTTGATGGGTGTACAAGCTCACGACGACCCACCTGGTATTAAGTGGTTACCGGAACCCGTAGACATCTACAACGTTAATACCACCACCTCGAGATATGAGTTCTAAGGTCTTAATGTACAGTGCAACGGTTGCCCCACCCTTCAAACTGACACGAATTACTGCTTCGCGGCATAAATAGGCATGGCGGTGGTGTCAACCCGTCATAATTTCTGCGGATTTGATTTTTATTATAATTAGTAGCTGACCCGGCAGACTTCGTAGTGCCTCAATCGATAAATAAAAGACCTAAATTTTTGTATAAAATAAACTTAAAATAAAACAAAAGGAATCCGTCCACAAATAATTCAAGACCAAAATTAGCCAAATCGGTCCAGCCGTTCTCGAGGTTTAGCGAGACTAACGAACAGCAATTCATTTTTATATTTAAATATTTGTTATTAATTATTTATTACAATTAAATATTCCTTCATAATGGAAGTAATCCGTGAACACGTACAAGTACCTACGCATTTCGATAAAATATATTTAATGTCAAAAAAAATAATACATGCAAAATTTCAGTACAAGGACACAAGATGCTAGATAAGAGAACGCGTGTTTTCAATGAAGAACTAGACATGTTTTCCTTGTCGGGCCGTGCTGTGTCAATTGATGACAGAAAAATGTAGGTTGGTAAATTGATAACGGCAAGGTACACGCGTCTCGTGAGGTATTATGTTCAAAACAATCATTTTATTACGCGGCTGAATCAATAAATAAATAAAATGGTGCGCGTGCAACTTCGTGCACGTGAAAGAAGTGCAACTTCTTTTGCGGTTTGTAGTATTGTGGTTTTCTTCGTTTTGCATCCTTAAATCAAATTTCTCTAGTAATAGGGAATGCTGTATTTAAGAAAAACGACCTAGCTCACTTCGTCGTTTCCTTATCTCCACGGTGGAGGTTCGCGAGACGCACTGTCTGTTTTCTCACTCTCGCTCTTCGTAAATTGTATTTTTTCTCTCTAGCCGTAACGAATCTGTCACGAAATAAATTTTACCCTCAACGCGCCTAAAGAAGTTTCACTTCATATTCTTCCTTGGCGGTCAGAGAATTCTACGACCGACCCTATATTTAGAATGATTTACATTGGGTCTTCAGTGAGACGAGGCGCACAATGAAATCGCAATTTAAATCATTATTTTTTTATTTTTGTTTCTATTATAAATCAAATATGCTTATCAAACGCGTTGCATTGCCCGTGTCTATGTCATCTGTGTAGACCAATAATCGAGCAGCGTTTTCTGCGGATCACACACTTAAGGCGAATCTCTAATCATTTTAAGCCACATATTCGGTTTCTCGCCGGATCTTCTCAGTGGGTCGCGTTTCTGACCCGGTGGTAGATTCTGCGAAGCACTGCTCTTGCTAGGGCCAGTGTTAGCACCACAAGCCTCGTTTGAAGAAGGACATGTCATAGCGCTCGGGAAACACCGTGGAGGGGAGCTCACTCCATAGCCGGATGGTGCGTGGCACAAAAGACCTCTGGAAACGCACTGTGGATGACTGCAGTGGCTCCAGGTAGTATGGATGAACTCTACTCCGGTGGCGGGCGGTGCGATGGTAAAAACGAGATGTCGGTATCATCTCGAACAATTCCTCAGAGCACTAGATGTAATATTTAAGTGCAAAATAAAAAATATGGTTTAAATAATGACTTGAAATAATTTATTATGGTGGGCTTACCCTCACTGACATCTTAATTCTTACACCAACTTGCCTTTAAAATAATATTTATATATAATTTCGCAACAAAAAACTACTTTTCTACAGCAAAATTACGGTTACTTTAGTATGTATTTTGTAATATAATAAGGATTTGGGATAAGTAAGTATTCGGGAAGTTTCTAATAAACCACATCCACAACAGATAAATGAAAGCGGGACATTTTTGTTCTCGTTGGGGACAGCGGGACTGACAGCTCGAAAGCGGGACAATCCCGCCCAAAGCAGGACGTATGGTCACAACCCCCTTTCGGTACGTCACGAAGCGATTAGGGGGCAGGAGTTTTTGTGACTGCAATTCCGTGGTAATTAATACTTACAGCATCAAGAAAGCTGTTGTACTTGTGATAATCGGGCCTGTTTCTCTCGCAGAACTGCCTGAAGAGTAGCTTCCCGATCGGCTGCTGATCTACCACGTAATCGTAACCTACATCTGAAACAAGAAAATAACTCTTATCAATAACGATGCACCGCATAACATATACAAGTATTTTTCGAACCAAGATCAGGGGTATTCCTTAACGGTACAATAGCACAGCTGTGCCTTGGTGAAGTCGTCGTGGCCTAAAGGATAAGACGTCCGGTGCATACGTGTTGAGCGACGCACCGGTGTTCGAATCCCGCAGGCGGGTACCAATTTTTCTATTGAAATACGTACTCAACAAATGTTTACGATTGACTTCCACGGTGAAGGAATAACATCGTGTAATAGAAATCAAACCCGCAAAATTATAATTTGCGTAATTACTGGCGGCAGGACCTCTTGTGAGTCCGCGCGGGTGGGTACCACCACCTTGCCTATTTCTGCCGTGAAGCAGTAATGCGTTTCGGTTTGAAGGGCGGGGCAGCCGTCGTAACTATACTGAGACCTTATAACTTATATCTCAAAGTGAGTGGCGCATTTACGTTGTAGATGTCTATGGGCTCCAGTAACCACAGGTGGGCTGTGAGCTCGTCCACCCATCTAGCAAAAAAATAATACTTAAACATTTCCTCAGAGCACTCTACCCGATATCTCTAAGCCAAGAGCATGTTTCTCAATAGCGTTTCGCTTACAAAGTTTTATAATTCCGCCCCCAAAGGATTAATTACAAAACCGCGAATTTTCATTACGCCACCGCTGAAACCGAGCAAGCAAGAACCTACCACAGCGATCCGTCAACGTTGCCAACTAAGACGTAAACTTGATTATTTTTCTTGTAGTTAACTATAAATACTATATCGTTTTCCTGTTTGCTCCTTTCTGTTGTTTCGTTTGGGGAGGATCGAGATGCGAACGAAATAAGAAAGAATATAAGTTAAAACGTGTAGGGATGACTGTTGTAAGGCGGTGACGATCGTTTTTTTTTTTATTGCGTTTGTGGGTGGACGAGTTGACAGCCGACCTGGTGTTAAGTGGTTACTGGAGCTCATAGCCATCTACGACGTAAATGCGTAACCCACCGTGAGATATCAGTTCTAAGGTCTCAGTATAGTTACAACGGCTGCCCCACCCTTCAAACCGAGACGCATTACTGCTTCACGGCAGAAATAGCCGGGGCGGTGGTACCTACCCGCGCGGACTCACAAGAGGTCCTACCACCAGTCTCGTCCTACAGCGATGGATTGGATAGGAATGTTTTTTTTTTTTTTAAAAAGAATTTGGCTCTAACGCCTTTGGCATTGATTTTGCCAAAGTATGTACAACAATGACAGGTGCGTAGAGAGAAAAAATATATTAAATACAAATAAATTTTGTCGGTTTTTTGCATTAGGAATGTTTTGTTGAAACCCATTTATTGATGTTGTCTTGAAATCAATTCGCTTGAGCGCTTATCTGTCTTAATATCTAACCAAGTGACGTAAAGAAACTTCCTCAATAAGGAAGCTATAGTGTTTCGATTCAATGCGACATAGAGTGCAAAATTATATTGAATTAGCTGGCCCGGCAAACGTTGTTTTTGCCATATAAATTATTTCTAGGTTCTATTTAAATAAATGACCTAGATACCAACTGCAGCGTCATCTGCCGGGCTGATTTGTGAATCTAAGCCATCCAGGGTACCACCCAAACGCATACAAAAAAAATCATTCAAATAGGTCCAGCCGTTTAGGAGGAGTTCAGTGACAAACACACGCACAGAAGAAATATATATAAAGACTAGCTGATCCGGCAGACTTCGTAGTGCCTCAATCGATAAATAAAAGACCTAAACTTTTGTATAAAATAAACTTAAAACAAACAAAAGGAATCCGTCCGACGGGGGACACATCAAAGGAAAAACAAAATTGATATTTTTATTTAATTCCGAGCATTTTCATATTTATCTACCTTTTAAACCTTCTCTGGACTTCCACAAATAATTCAAGACCAAAATTAGCCAAATCGGTCCAGCCGTTCTCGAGTTTAAGCGAGACTAACGAACAGCAATTCATTTTTATATAGATAGATAAAGAAAATGAAGTCACTTTTCACAACCGTTTTAAAAATTGGATAATAAAATTATTAGCTTTGTTCTAGAACTCGATAGCAGATTTAAAATTCTCATATCTGAGAAGTTTATTTGATTTTCGTGATTTATCTAATTAATACACATTTATTTGTTTAAAAAAATACGATATCAGTGTAGTGGCCAATTGCAAAGATGTCTTCTTGTTCGGAGATACATTTTCGGTTATTGGTCGTATCTGCGAACTATTCCCACGAAGACTCAACCCTAATTCACCTAAATTGTTTGATAAATGTAAGAATCCGCTTAATGTGTTATGTTTTTGTATTTTCGTATCTCGCAATGTTACGATATCTTTGGCGGTAATATAATATATTATTATAATAGTTATGGTTATGGTAATAGTTATGGTTTCAAGTTTTTTTTTAACTTTTATTTGAACTTGTTTGGATTTAGAAATTGAGATTAGTTATACGAATGCCACTTCGATATGTACCACTGATTCCAAAAATTATTTGTATTATTAAAGAATTAGTACGCCTACACAGCTGAACATATCACCCTGAAATCTCTTTGTCTGCTAAATGCCATGTGTCAAAAGAACGTATAAAACTACATAATTTAATACATTTAAAAAAAATACTAATAAAAATAGCAAAATTATTATTAAATCGTTCGTATTAATGTATTTATAAATGTATATTTTTTTCTATCTCTAGGTGTATCGCGGTTTTTTTATTTCATGAAGTGATTCTTGTCCACCTGATAGTTGATTGAAAGAGATCGTTCTTAGCGGTAAAGCCTCCCAATGTACTTTTTTGCATCTATTTTTTTTTTTTTTTTCCTACCTATGCTGATAGCCTTAATGTTTTGCATTTTTATTTATTTTGATGTACAATAAAGAATACTCTCTCTCTCTCTCTCTCTCTCTCTCTTACTCTCTCTTTCTTTCTTTCTGTCTTTCTCCCTCTCTTTCTCGCACACTCGGTCTTTAATATAAAAAACGATAACGTCATTAATTACAATGACAGGAAATTTTCCTTAATTAACGTATCACGTTATAAGTAAATGATTAATTGTAATATGACCACAGAGATTTAAAATAAACATACATTCATTTCAAAATATTTTTCTCAGTAGTTTCTTGTTAGACTTCGCCATAAAAGAAAAGAAAAAGTTGAAATATTTATACTATCAGGTCGTTTTGAATAATTTACATGTTATGATGATGTGTCCACCGAACACGTCTGAAATATGTTAAATCGGTAAAATCGTCGGAAAATCCAATGCCTCACACCCCGTCACACCCCAACTATATAGGTCCTCATTATCCATTCGGGTTATAAACATGTTCCCATGACGACTCGGATCCCGAATCGAAGGATTCGACCTTCGGACCAGCGAAAGGATTCCCGAAATAGTTTCCTTTTAATACATTCGCGGGCTTTGAGATATGAGATTAGATAACTTCGGACAATGTTAGGAAAATCCCGAACGTAGTTCACGGCTTCTTGTCGAAGATCTGCGTTGTAGTCGAGAGTAGTGTTGAGCTTATTTTCGCAGATTTTGTGGAATATGCTAAAGGATTTTTGAATAAAAGTGCCTTTTTGTATGTTCCATGGGGAGTGCTCTGAGGAATTGTTTGAGATAATACCATCATCACGCTTTTACCATCGCACCGCCACCGGAGTAAAGTTCGTAATATATAAGTACATAAAGACGTAACCGTAGTTACTATTTGATAACGTCCACGTCATTCTTTAATCGCGCGCCCTCCGAATGTTTTGGTCGTATTAAAGTGCATTATACTCTAATGCTATAAATACGCGATAAGAAGCGAGTCGCTATGGCAATACTGTACAATGTTATGAATTTTTCGAAATGTCGCATCGTAACCGATAAATAACGTTTGTTTTGTTTGACTTTGAAGTTTGTAATTTGTAGTGGTCTTGTATCTCTTGATCTATGATTTTTCTATCTACCTTTCTATCTATATAGTTTCTATCTATTATTTTTCTTTGTTATTGGTGTAGATGGGACGTGGCTGTGACTTGGTTACAGGAGCCCGTAAGTAGTGAGGTCTGGATTGTCTGTACACCAAAGGTCATGAAATCCACAAAATGGAGCCTTTTAAATTATTCCAGCAAAAGATCTAAGAGTGGTTTATAAAACTTTTGTTATTTCTAATGTAACGACGGTACATGTGCGTGTAAAACAATTTTTGGACAATGGTAAAAGGCAGTGATTCGTTTGACAAATGTATATATAGTAATATGTAGTTCATCTGATGGCATGTCACCAAGGCACAGCCGCGCTATATATATTTTTTTGTGCTTAGATTGGTGGACGAGCTCACAGCCCACCTGTTGTTAAGTGGTTACTGGAGCCCGTAGACATCTACAACGTAAATGCGCCACCCACCTTGAGATATAAGTTCTAAAGTCTCAAGTATAGTTACGACGGCTGCCCCGCCCTTCAAACCGAAACGCATTACTGATTCACGGCAGAAATAGGCGGGGTGGCGGTACTTACCCGTGCGGTCTCACAAGAGGTCCTACCACCAGTAAAAGAATCAGATTATAGCACCGCTTCGTTTTTACCATCACACCGCCCGCCACCGGAGTAGAGTTCATCCATACTACCTAAAACCACTACATTCATACACAGTACGTTTTCAGAGATCTTTTTTGCCACGTACCATCCAGATTTGGAGTGAGCTCCCCTCCACAGTTTTTCCCGAGCGCTATGACATGTTCTTCTTCAAACGAGGCTTGTGGAGAGTACTTAAAGGTAAGCCGTGGATTGGCTCTGTCCCTGGCATTGCTCACGTCCATGGGCGACGGTAACCACTCACCATCAGGTGGGCCGTATGCTCGTCTGCCTACAAAGGCATTAAAAAAACCTTCAATCAAGTGTCACAAATACCATTCTGATAATCGCCTGGCATATGTTAGGACGTGAGTTACTGTATGTGTGCAATTAAAATTACGCATTAATAATACATTAAATCAATAAAAAAAACATTACACACACTACCATGTATTTGACGCACACACGCATGCATACTATTTATTTATTGTCAAACTTTTGTTCTTGACGTCGGTTGTCAAATTGAGAATAGATTAAATATTGTTTGTCTTTATTAAAATTTTTCTATAGTGTAGTCTTGGCGAAATTTGTGATTATAGAAGTAGAATAGTCTTAAAATCATAATAGTTACTGTATGTGTGCAACCTCTATATGATTTATGATATAAATCTTAAAGATGTTATAGTAAGTTATACAGGTGACACATAAATGGTATTATATTTTGAATATTGAAACATTAGAAGAAGAAACATCAGAAACATTTAAACATTTAAACATTTTGAATATTAAAACATATGAAACATAAGAACTGGTGAAGCAATAGCCTTAAATGTTGTTTCTCTTTACAGAGCAACTCAATTTGTGTTATAGTTTTACTGGCTAAGCTGTCCTTTATGGTCCATCGATTTGGAAGATAATCATCACTATTAAAAATAAAACTGAAAATGTTGCTAGGGCATCAGCATAAGGCTTTGATAATACACTTGCCAGCGTTAGCAGTCTATTTTGTGACATTATCTCTACATATAGATGAAATTGGAGTGTCTGTTTGTAATATTGAAATAACCGCTTTTTATTACATGCATGTGAATATTATATACACCAAAATAACATTTTTTACAATTTTTGTCTGTCTGTCTGCCCGTTTGTTCCGGCTAATCTCTGGAACGGCTGGACCGATTTTGACGAGACTTTCACTGATAGGTAGCTGATGATATAAGGAGTAACCTACGTTACTCTTTTTTTAGACTAGCTTCGTCCCGCGGCGTCACTCGCGGTACGACAATAACCGCGGGTAGCACCGCGAGACACAGCTATCAATAATAAAATTTAATGTTTCCGAAGCGAAGCGAGGGCGGGTAGCTAGTTAATAATAAGACCTTAATGTATCCATCTATTATAGAGTAAGTACATAGAATTGTAATTATAGGTGCTCTTCACGTGGTACGACACCGCTGGGAAATCATCCAATACGTAATATTGAGATTAATAAACATATTTTTTATTGGACACTTCGCACGAGTCCCGAGTGAAATGTACACGAACAATGGTATTTGACGTTGACGTTTTTGCGTAATTCAGACTTACCCACGAATGATTTCCCCGATGATGGAATCGCGTAGATCTATAATAATTAAACCAGCAAAAATAATTTCCAGAATTGTTGACGTTGAAGCATTTTTTTGGTTTTTTTTTATAGCTTAGGTGAGTGGACAAGCTCACAGCCCACCTGGTGTTAAGTGGTTACTGGAGCACATAGACATCCACAACGTAAATGCGCACCCACCTTGAGATATACCTAGTCAGGTCATAAGTATTGTCACACAGTAAAAACTTTTCTTTTAGAATGCTGGCCACAAAAAAGTTTATTGAATTCGAATTTCGAATTGTTCATGAAAATAAAAATGTATACTTTTACAATTTTACTCATTTTTAAATATGGAGTGGACGCTTAAAGAAGACCGTGTTGCAGTTATTGCGTTGCATCGTTGCGGTTACGCGCCAATTCAAATTTTTAACATACTGAAAAATTTGAATATAACCAAAAGATTCATTTATCGTACCATCAAACGATACAATGAAGACTCTAGTGTAGATGACAGGTCAAGAAGTGGTCGCCCTCGGTCTTTTTTATTTCTCGGTTTGTTACGTTAGAAACATGTGCACGACGTTATTGAAGATGCTTACTGGTAAACCACAAGAAGGTGAATGTCTTGCTGCATATGCAAGCCGTTTATTTACCTTACTCATGTCACGATGGAGTAATTTAGAAAAGGAAGAAATGGTGGTGTCTTTAATACTTGCACACATGGGACAAATTGAGCCACGGTTACAACGCAATATTTTTGCGGAAGAAATACAACCCCGCTTAAAATGCACGCAGAACTAATGGCTTTTATCTTATCGCAAACGGAGCTCACGCAAGAGATTGACAAAAGCAGCCTTGCAAGCAATACGCACGATAACAAACTTCACAGAATTAGTTCTGGTTCCACAAAATGTTACGCTTGTGGGAAAGCTTGGCCATAAAATCTAGATGAATGTTTTCAGTCGATCTGCTTAATGAAACAGTAAACCACTCCGATCTTCTGAAACACCGCCCTGACCAGCGAGACCTAGCGTGCCCTGTGACTTTGCTACAAGTGGTGGGGTGTTAAGGTCCATGTGGCATCGCGGTGCTCAAAAAACATGGTCAGTTGCAAGTAATAGTGCACAACCCATCCGTCCACACGAGCATCGTGAAGCGAGTGAACGTGTGTGGTATGAAGCCTGTCACCGGGATAATTACACAATTTGGTGAGCAGTTCTCATTTTGTTTTGATTCTGGTGCTGACTGTTCCTTAATTAAAGAGAGCGTCTCTCGTAAGCTTGTCGGTACATTACAGCACGCTTTGCTACATTGTGTAACATGTAACTCACAAATTTGGATAGGATGGCGAGGTGGCCATAGGATGGCGAGGTGGCCATAGGATGGCGAGGTGGCCATAGGATGGCGAGGTGGCCATAGGATGGCGAGGTGGCCATAGGATGGCGAGGTGGCC